TATTTATAATGGAGATGTAAATACTTTAGCAGGAAGCGTTGCCGAAGCAACTGATCTGAAATACGATGGATGTCTTGGTGGAGAGAAGTCTTCACATGAAAGAATAATACATAATCTGGAAGATGAAATTTTTCAGAGGCTTAATGCTATTGAATATGGATTTGCGGAGAGACTAAGTAATTTAGAAAATTTGCTTTTGTCTCTGAAAAAGGCCTAGTGAATTTCTTTCATTTGCTTTTCGGGTATCGTTACAGAACTCTAATAAATATTTATTCTATTTTGCGTCAGTCAACAATGAATTTTAATGTGATTTGTATAAATCCTTCTTTAAAACTATTACAATGATTTAATATACAAAATGGAGCGGTGATTCATAATTTTTAGAATAATCATTTGTCATGACTTTATAAATACGGTAGCTTGATTTAAAAGTTTGAAGAAAAATAGAAAATAACCTTATAATAATATTCTGCATGCAAAAATGCTTATATTCTAATTAGGGATATTATTGTGATAAGCAGTTCTGCTTATGCTTAAGCATGCTTGAGCATAATGCCCTTTTATACAGTATGAAATAAAAATAATGGCACTCTTTATTTTTGTTATTATTTAATGAACAAATATTTAAACTAAGTAGAATTGCTGTTGTATTTTTTATTATATTAATAAAAAAAGCAATTTTAATATAATTTAATATTGATTTTGCTTTTAATACAAATGATTTTAAAATAAATGGCATAATAATTTAAATTGATTTTTTATAACAACTTTATTAATAAAAATTTTAATAAAAATAATTCGGTATTAGTTTTTTTGTTCCATACTGTTGTAACAATTGATTAGCAAGTCTGTTATTAAAGTAAATAAGAAATTATATCCCTTAAATCATAAGGAATTTTTTATAAAATTTAAAAATTTTTAACTAAAAGTTGCTTCTTATTTATTTTTTTAAATAAACAAAATAATTTTCTAAAAAATTTTATTATTTATTAATAGTATTTATTTATTATTTATTTAATAAAAATTTAAAGATTAATTATAAACTTAATTTTTTAATTTTTAAAATATTTTTTTAATAAAAGTTAATCTTAGACAAACTTAAAAAATTTTTAATTAAAGTTCATATAATTTATAAGCAGTTTTATAGAATTATTTGTAAAGAATAACTTTAATTAATATTATTTTAATGATTTAATTATAAAAGCTTTAACTAGTATTAGAAATAAAAAAATTTTTTTATTTTAAACATATTAAATTTTATATAATTTTTTATATTGAATTATTTATTTTAAAAATTTTCAATAAATTTTTAATTTTTTACTTAATAAAGTTAAGTAAAAATATCTAAAATTACATTTTTATAATATAAGTAAATTATTAAAATTTTAAATATGCAAGCAAATTTGTCTGCATTACAATTTAAAAAATAATATTATAAATCAATTAACAAGTCAATTATTGACTTATAATGTTTTTTGTTTTGTTTAATTAACAATAAAATAAATTTTTTTTTTTTACTTTTAAGACATGTTTTCAATTTGGTTAATCTTACAATTTTATTTTTCTATTGATCAATATAAAACTTGTCTTATATTAATTTCTTTATACAAACTTTGGTTTTTTTACTTAATCATATAGTATAAGCTACAAGTATTTCAGATATATAAAAAAATAAAATAAATATTTATTTACAATTTTACTTTATTATTAAATACTAATATATTCTTAACTAATTTGAAAATTAAACTTGAAATTTAAAAATTCATTCATATTGTTACTAAAATTTTTGAAAATTTTATTAAGATACTATTATATAATATTAATATTCATCAATATTTAATATTTTTATCTATATTTTTTATATAATATTTTCTTCTTTTCTTCAAGAATTCTCAAAATATTTATATAGTTTTAACAGTGTTGCAAATTCAAAGCATTGTAGTTCAAAAACTAAGTTTTGAATCTTTTTTGAAATTGTAAGTACATATTTATAGAAAGACTAAAGGAACAACTTTGTTATTAGAAGAATAATATTTTAAATAATTTTATTTTTTCTCTTACAGATAAAAATTTTCTTTAATGATTATTCTAAGTGTAACAATTAATTATCTAGCCAAATCTTTTGTGTAAATAGATAAATCATATATAAATAATTAAATTAAAAACAATTTACAATTAACCAAAACATTATAAAAAGGTTATAATTTTTTTCAGCTGTAAAAAAAGAACTATTATAATTATAAAATTTTAAATTATTGTATTTTCTTTAATTTTCTTTTAATAAAATTATATTATCATATATTTTTCTTTTATATTTTTCTATTGTTTTTCTATTAAAATTCAATTTTTATATATTTTTATCTTTTGATTCTAATATCAAGACAGAGTTGTAAAATTAAC